GAAAAATAACAGATACTGATTATCTGATATAACACCTAATGGCTTGCAATCACCTTTGTGAATAAAATGTAACAATTTTATTCTATGCAGTCCCCTTAGTATAACTTATCTCTTTTTTGAGAAATTAAACTATGATGGTTCTTTAAATGCCGTGATGCTTCAAAAACTTAGACCTAATACAAATTGGTTTAAAACCAATCATGGTTCTTTAAGTGCCACGATGCTTTGAAACTTAAACTAAGTACAAATTGGCTTAGAACCCGTTGTGACCATCTCGGTTATGGGTTGACCATGATGTCTTCACGGATCAAAGACTACTGTGAATGATATCTTCGTAAAAAAAAATGCAAACAGAGGTAAAAAGGATGTGAATGAGGTTTTGAAATTTTTGAAATTTATTTCTAATAATATTCAAGAAAAGGTATATTTTTCATAATTTCTCTTTTTTAATGTATTATTATAATTTTTCAGTCATGAGCATCTATGGTTGAGTTTCAAAACTTATTCCGATTCCTTCTACATGGGTACCCTTATTTTTGGTCTATGTTGCAAAAATATTGGTATCTTTATAAGTAGAAAACCTATCCTTCCCACGCTAGTGTGTTTAATTTAATATTACAATGTCTTTAGACTTCAAATATTTGATGTACGATGTGTCTTTTTTAGGGTATTATACTTTTTGTGTTTATTTAAACTATGAGCATCCCAATTTATTCAAATAATAGCTTAACTCTCAATTGTTATGTATTATACAACCCTCTTTCTCTACACATCATGAATTTTCTAAGGTATCAATACCTTATACTGCACTTCTAAGAAATTTCATGAGATATACATGGTACCAACTTTATACAAGCATCCACCTTATAATATAAAAATACAATACACATTTATAAACCGGAAAAAATTGTATATAGAGCTGAGGCGCTAAACAATCAAATTAGAACCCACTTCAAAAATTTCATTAGAAGAGGTTGTTTTGATGCCCAAATATCCTCAAATTGATCACCTCGACATCAATATGCATGGACATGAAGAAAAAATGGATTTCATATTTGGACATAATGTATCTTGTAATGTATTTTTTGATTGTCAATTTTCAAGATTTTCATAGATCTGCTCCATCTACACCATTTTTAAGCTTTAAATTTTATAATTAAAGATGAAAATATATTTTAAGTCTATCACAAAGATTTCCAACATTAAAACCACATTTGTCGACACTATTTGAAGGTGTGCTTTACTTTGATTGTTTAGAACTTCGGCTTTATACAAACCGCACCCCTTATAAACTGGTTGTTTTGCTATTAGAAAACCTTCAATTCAATCATCTTGATCTCGAAATGTATGAATATGAAGATAATGAATTTCAAATCACCAAATTAGTGCATCCTATAATACAATATCTAGATTGTCATTTTTCAAGTGTTTATAGATACATTTGATTTGCACCATTTTCGGCAACAAAAATTTCATAATTAGTTGCAGAAATAGATTATTGGGCCATTATAAGGGTTTCTGACATGTGGATCTATCGACATGGTTTGGAGGTGTGCCTTTCTTACTGTTGACGCATTTGACAAAGTGAGGCTTATTCTCAATTTCTTACTTGTCTATCCAAAAAAATGTTAATATCCACATTGATGATCATGTATCCATTAAAAAAATATATAATTTAAGCTTTAAAAGTGATCCATTAAAAAAAAAAATTGTATTATTTTTAGAGCTTCAAATCCTACAAAAAGCAAGAATCTGTAGATCATCACAAGTCCTTACCAAATCTTCATCAAATTGCTTTATGTTAACATATTTGTTACATGACCACATGGAGGTTTTGTAAAAGTCAATATTAGACTCACAAAAGATAGAGCATTAGTTTCTTTTTTATTTAACTTGGGTATTTAAACATCATCATCATCATCATAATATCCACATTGATGATCATGTATCTATTAAAAAAATATATAATTTAAGCTTTAAAAGTGATCCAATTAAAAAAAAAATTGTATTATTTTTAAAGCTTCAAATCCTACAAAAAGCAAGAATCTGTAGATCATCGCAAGTCCTTACCAAATCTTCATCAAATTGCTTTATGTTAACATATTTGTTACATGACCACATGGAGGTTTTGCAAAAGTCAATATTAGACTCACAAAAGATAGAGCATTAGTTTCTTTTTTATTTAACTTGGGTATTTAAACATCATCATCATCATAGTTTTTTTCAACTAATTGAGATCGATTACACGAATCTTGACATGGGATTCTACTCTATTAAAGATCATATCCGTTATAAGTCTTTATATCTTTTCTCAACTTTACAAAAGCTTGAATCCTATTTATTCCAACTTTCATTTGAACTCACAGTATTAAAGAATTGATTAGTTGAAGGGTTTTATGCTCGAAGTTGAGATATTCAATAGAAGGGCTTTCCACCATCAAAATAATTTTAAACTTTTTGGGGATTTTTGAGATGCAACTTACTTTTTACCTAAAATTATTATATTATACAAATTTTTTCTATACTTGATTCCACCATATTATAAAATTCAACATATAAGAACAAAATTGCACTATAGATGAAACTTATTTTCCACCTAAATGTTAGTACTTCTTAATGTACTTTGCATTAAAATGTGTTATTTATGGATTTTATTAGGTCATAAAAAGTAGTAAATCTCATTATAAAAGCACTTGGCCCAAGGGCATCGTAGTTATTACCTACTCATCCTATTCTCTCAAAATATCGCCGATATGTTTATTTTTTAACTATCAAATTGTTATTTCTAATTTTGTATTATTTGCATTTTTTTACCCTTAACACCCGTTCCTTTCCCGCAGCTTTATATTAATTCAGGGCGGCGCCTCCCTGGAAACCTGACGCAAAGTGGAATTACATTGTTACCCTACTAAGTCAACGAATATCGGAAATATCCTCACAAAGTGACTATTGAATGGTATAAATTTAAAATAAAATAAATTGGGTGCCTTCTTGAGTGAAATTGTTGCCACCTATATTTCTATTTGGGTGGAGGAATTGGTGTTTAGACCCTTACTGTTGATTTGGAAACCAGTATGGATAAGTAATTTTTTTGAATTGGTCAATAAAAAACAAAATATAGAGCATAAAATAAAAAAATAAAAGGTGGGGTGGCTCCCTGACAGAAATGATTGGTTATGTTAGAGAACCGATCAGTTTCCAATACATGGTAGGAACCACGAGTGGCAATGGACCCAGCTAGACCGGGGACCCAATACGTGCTTAGGTCCTAGTATGGGTCCAAATTTTGGACCTGAATACTATTTGGGTCCCGGTCCGACCTGTACTGTAGTCATAGGCTATATGATGATAATCATGTGTCATTAGGCCCGCACTGGATGTTCATATGATCATAATATTGACAACATTTATAGTATTATTGGCAAAAAAGAAGAAGCTTATAGTGAGAGCGTATATGATGGTAAAAAAAAGGGAAAAAAATAAAAAATCATAGTCATAGAGTGGCAATGGATCTGACTAGACCTAGTACTCGATGGGTAGACCCAAGGTTCAAGGATAGGTCCAAATTTTGGACTCAAATACTATTTGGGTCCAACTTTAACCGAACCTAACCCATACCCAAGCTGTTGCCAGCTCTAGTAAGAACCCAACTGGTCCCACCTATTCTCAATCTCAATCAGGCAATTTTGATCCGAATAGGTATTTTTTAAAACCCTTGATTGAAAATTGGGTTATTCCAATCCTAGTAAGCTGATGGAGAAGAGATAGGATGAATCGGGCTTTAATAAATACAAAGATACGAAGATGAGATAGTCAATTAAACCTACATTGGAAACAAAAAATCAAAGCAAGTCAAATAAGGAAGCAATGTCATTAGAATCAGACTCTTGGATTTGGCAGTTTGGTCTGGTCAAAACCAATATGACTATCAAATAATATTACATTTTAAATAAAATAAAAAAATAAAAATAGTACAGTACAAAATAAACAAACAATGCCCTACTTTATTCATCCAATCTGATTGTAAAATTTGGTCAAACATTGATTTGACCCATTTTCATTTGGACCGAGTTTTTGTTTAAGGCCAAAATTAACCAAAACACTAGTGGGCAGTCCAACTAGTCAACTAGACGGTGAACAATTAAATTTATATTTATTTGGTAAAAATTATAGGAATTACATTGATTTGGGTACCCAAATTACAAGGAGATAATAGGAGAGAGATGAGAATAATTCGATCTAAGTAAATAGTAAGCAATAATAAAAAAAAGAGGAATTAAAAAATAAAGTAAAATTCATGAGGGTAAAAAATAAAATGTGGTTAAAGAAACAGGAAAATGCACTGATCTAATGCTACGGTTTTTTTTTTGCATAAGTAATGCAATGGTTGTATCATAGTATAATACGGCTACACTTTTAAAAAACTATATTTGTGAGTGCCAAAATAGTAAAAAATAGAGAAAAAATGTGGTTAAAGAAATAGGAAAATGCACTGATCTAATGCTATGGTTTTTTTTTGCATAAATAATGCCATGGTTGTATCATAGTATAATAAGATTACACTTTTAAAAAACTATGTTTGTGAGTGCCAAAATAGTAAAAAATAGAGAAAAAATAAAAATAGATGAAACAAATAACATATTAAACCTTTTAAACTCCACAAATATCACAAATGCCATCCAACAGTTCACGTACACTAAATTTGCAGTTTTGCCCTCCATTCACCCCTTTTAATTAGACAACAGCCCACACCTGTAAATAATGCAACAGTATAAGAAAGTAGAGAGAGAAAGAACCACAGTGTAATAGAAGCGAGAAAAACTACAACTCAATACCAAGTTTAGAGAGAGGAAAGGACCATTTGGGGAATAGCAGAGAGAGAAAGAAGAGCACATGGTGTAATAGTAGAAAGAGAGGAAAAAGTAGAGAGAGAGTAGACCCATACTGTAACACCAAAAGAGAAAGAAAACCCACATTGCAATAGCAAGATTATATCTCAAATTCCTATTTTACCATCCATAAACTCTACAGATATCACAAGCACCCCTTACAATCCCCCTATATCTTGACAAGAGCCCCGACTTCAATACTAACGTTTTAGAGAGAGAGAGAGGACTTCAATACAAACGTTTTAGAGAGAGAGAGAGGACTTCAATACAAACGTTTTAGAGAGAGACACCCTTTGCTCAATAGCAGAGAGAGTGGAAGCAGAGAGAGAGAGAGAGAGAAAGAAGCGCACAGTGCAATTGTAGAGAGAGAAGAAGAAAATGTTTGAGGAGTTGAGGTATCTGATGGGCGGCTCCGCCGGGGCGAGCGGCTTTGGTTCCAAGTCCACGGCCGAGCAAGTAACGCCGGAGCTCGGCTCCATCACAGCCATCATCACAGGTAAGATTCGATATCCGCTGTTGGATTCCCCCCATGTCTCCGATTGCGGTTGAGAATGAGTCCCTGTTTTCAGGAGCCACGTCGGGGATCGGCGCCGAGACGGCTCGGGTTCTGGCGAAGCGGGGCGCTCGGCTCGTACTGCCGGCCCGGAGCCTGAAGGCAGCGGGAGAAGCGAGGGCGAGGATTAGGGGGGAGATTAGTGGAGCGGAGATTATCGTCATGGCGCTTGATCTCAGCTCCATGGCCTCTGTGCGATGCTTCGTTTCGGAGTTTGAACGGTTGCGGTTGCCCCTCCATCTTCTCATGTGGGTCTTCTAACCTCTCTCTCGTGTTCGTCTTTTTAGCTCTCCTCTCTTTCGGATTTCTCTCTCTGTTGACTCTCAATCTTTTCATTTGGGTTTTTTTTGTTTTTTTTTCTCGATGTTTGGAATTTTACTCTCTCTCTCTTATTTTCTCACTGTTTGGATATTTACTATCTCCCTCTCTCACTCTTCTTTTCTCACTGTTTGTAATTTTACTCTCTCTCTCTCTGTTAATCTCAATATTATCAGTTGGGTCTTCTTACTGTTCCTCTCTCTCTCTGTTGGGGTTAATATTTGCTCTCGTATTACTGCAAACTCTCAAAATTCTCCTGCGTTCAACAGTTGCTTGCGTTTTTATTGCTTTTTATGCTCTCTCTCTCTCTCTCTGTCTTGTACATAAGCGTCTCTTACTTTTTACGTCTCTCTCCCTCTTTGCCTTCCCCACTCTCTGTCTCTCTGAGCATAATATAAATGTTTTTCTTCATCTCTCTCTTCCTCGTTTCTTGCTCTCTCTTCCTCGTTTCTTTCTCTCTCTTCGCCCTGCAAACGGAATTATCTTTTTTTCTCGTCCTCTCCTCTCCTCTCTTGTTGCACCGCATTAAACTTGGTTCCTCTCTCTCTCTCTCCAAGGCGTTTTAGTCGTTTTTGGTTTCCTATTTTTCTTTTCTATGATGCCATAAAGCTCCATTTTATCTGCAACTCTCTCTCTCTCTCTCTCTCCTCTTTTTCTATCCATTCATTTGAGAAATGCCTCCTCCCACTTTCCGGCTCTCTCCATATTTGCCTCCCTCTCCTTTATTTTGAGAAATGTCTCTCTCTCTCTCTCTCCTTATTTGATAAATGCCCCTCTCTCCCCTCCCCTAATTTGAGAAATGCCCTTTCTCTTCCTTATTTGAGAAAGGAAAACATTTATATAACGGTGAGGCCCTAATCAATCAAATTAAGGCTCACCTAAAATATTTGAAAGAAGAAAAAAACCCTCAATGCGATCATCTCAACTCAACGTGGGGATGTATGGAGATCAGATAAAATAGATTTTCAAGTTTTAAAAATAGTACATTTTTTGATACCGAAATAACATGTTTGGACGCTATTTCACAGCCGTCCTTACTTTAACTGTTTAAGGCCTCGGCTTTATAAAAACCACGCCCACGCCCTTTGAGAAATCCCTCTCCCCATGTTTGAGAAATGCCTCTCTCACTCTTTCTAGGGGTGGCAACGGGTCAGGTCGGGTCGAGGTCCATTGCCACTCCTACTCAGACTACTCTTTCTCCCTCCATTTCAAGTTTGAAGACTTTCAAGTTCAATGATCAGAGTCCACGCTCCTGTGGCTTAGCAGAAACCCCCTCTGTTTTCAGTATAATATCGATCGTGCTTCTTGCTTTGAAAATGGCATATGTCCAATGAATGGTTCTTATCTTCGGTTTTTTGAGTAAATATCTCATGGTCCATCTGGAAAAAGAAAATTGTTACAAATGGGAAAATTTACACAAAAACCCAAAAACATTAGCGGAATAACAGGATGCTCCATATTTTCTCGATTTTTTTTACTTTATTTTATTTAAGTTTAGCAACATTATACCTGTTTTTCTTTTTATTATTTTTATTTTGTTGAACTCTAGGGTTCTTCGATGGCCTGAGACATCCCCAATTCTGGGTCGGTCTGATGTTTCAAATGTCGGATAGCCAAGTTAGGCAGTTTGATATTTGAAACATTAGACCTGCTATTGTAGTACTTTTTCATGGGGGGTCCGAGTGGTATGATGTTTAACATCAAACAACCCGAAGGTTAAGTAGTTTTTGAAACATCCAACCCTGCTATACCAATAGTTTTTTCAAGCATTGGGGTTGGTCCATTGTTCAAACATTTGGTTAACCCCAAATTGGGGTTGCCCGATCGGGGCTATCAAAGTGCCCTAGAGCTGAACAAAATAAAATATAAAAAAAAAAAAACGTCGAATTGGGGCACAAAATTGAAAGAGAAAAAAAAGAGAGTAGAACCTCCTCGTAAATTTGAAAAAAATATGGAGCATTCCGTGATACCATAAATATTGTCTTTCATAATTTTTCCTTTTATTTTTTATTTTTACTTGGCTATTGATAACTTAGATTTGTTGTCAAGTTTCTATCTAGGGAAATTATTTTCAAGTTACTATCTAGGTAACTTATTGTCTAGAGAAATCAACCCAAAAAAATTCCAATCCTATTTCCAAAAATTAATATTGAATTATTATTATTGTTGTTATTATTAGTATTATTATTTATCCTACGTGATAATACAAAGCATGTATACCCCATATTTAAGATTAATCTGGATGTATAGATACAATAATAATTAGTGTTTGCAAAATTGTACCAGGACGGTTGACTGGACATGGGGCTTGGAGCGGTTAGAATAGGAACCAGACTAACTGGTCTGGTAGATTTTTTTTAAAAAAATGGGTGAAAAATACCCAAAAACAAAAAAATTAAGATATTTCTAGTAGAGGCACTTTTCAAGTTCGACCCTCCAAATATGGGTTCCATTAGATAGACTAACCCAACCCATATTGCCAAATGTGAGGGATGATTTGAAATTAATATCACTTTTGTAAAACTCTCTCTGTCTCTCTCTTTGGAATCGGGCTAGATTGGGATTGGCCAATGACCGATCTTGAGTTAGTTGGCCGTTTTTTAAAAAATCAGTTGATCTTTTAAAGACTCTTTCCAAAACATTCCAAAAACCTTGATAGAAAATGGAAAAAAAAAAGAAAAAAAAGAAAAAAGAAAAAAGAAAAAGAAGAATAACGAGAAGAACCAAGCAACATACAAGACGATAGTGTAGTGTTTCATTGAACATAAGGCAACCAAAATTTTTGTACGCACTTAAAAAAACAAAATGCCTCATTTCCATTATTACAAATGTAACTATATCATGCACTTAAAAAAATCGAGCAAAAGATCGAACAACATTATCATGCACTTATCAAAAAGAGTAATCCATTTCATCAAAAAAATAGTTTTATCAAAAAAAATAATTTCATCAAAAATAGAAAAACACTTCCCATATTCATCAAAAAACATAATTTTATTAAAAAATCATAATTCTATTAAAAATAATTTTAGTAAGAAAAATAGAAAAATACTTCTTGTATTCATCAAAAAGCATAATTTTATTAAACAACATATTTTTTTTAGAAAAATTGATTTATCAAAAGCCTCTGAAGTCGAACAACATTTCGAGTAAGAAACGACCCTCAATGTTTGGATAATCGAACAAATTAATATACATGCATTGTAAAGGCTTCGATCATCTTTCAAATGCACCAAATCTCATAAAAAAATATTTGGTATTTTTAATTTAATTGAAAAATGGCAGAAATTTCAGATCTATGAAATTTTCATGGTATGGTGCAACAAAAAAATTCATATAAAAAAATTAATCAAATCATAAATAAACATACCTAATTTGTTTGAGAGATTAAGCCTTGAAGATCAAAATCCACAACCCAATTTGATAAAAAAACGACCAACAAATTGATAAAAAATCTGTGTTTTTGGATCAAACACTGGTTCCTTTTCGGGCCAAAATCAACCAATAATATTTGGTTTTTGAACAAATTGGAACATGAGTATGATAAATACTTCATTTATCTATCAAACCCACTAAATTTCTTCAAGAACCATTAGGTATTGAAGAAATTATTGAAAGAATAGCATAAATTTTCAAAAACCTATAAAATCCGTCATTTCAATGCAAGAAACTCTTCTTATTTTTTTCGATGTTTCAATACAAATTTCTTGTTTTATAGATTCTAGATATTGATTTACGGCAATAAATAAATGAATAAAAAAGACAAAAAAAAGGCACAAAAATGAATAAAAAAAAGTAAAAATTTTGATTCAAGAATGCCTTCTACAAATAATAGTTAACAGGTACATTACCGTTATTTCATAAAAACATCCGTTATATCGTCTAACTGGTCTGGTTAGCACAAAACCAGCTGGTTTGCCTAAAAAATGACCGGTTCGACCTCTAAACTGCCAGTTTTGGGCCAATTTTTTTTGGGGGTGTACCTTAGGTTACTAGACACCCAAAACCGACCCTAACTGGACTCGGAAACCGCTAGGTTTTCGATCTAACTGGCCGATTTTTTTAACACTGCAATAATCTTAAAATACTCTTAAAAGTAAAAATTGAATGTGAAATATGAAATATAAGGGACTACTTGTAAATTCAAAAAATTCAAATGAAAATTTTAGGTAAATTTTCCCAACTATCTAAAATACCTCATTTTTTTTATGAAACAATGTCAATTGTTTCCCTCCATGGATGTTTTGTCACATGGAATGCTTAGGATAATTTTTTAAAAATAAATAAATCTGAAATTTTCAGAAAGTCAGTGGCATTTCTTTAGATTTTTTATTATTTTAGTTATGACTTTTTTTATCAAAATATGCATGAGAGATGCACTATTTTGACATATTACACTTTTCATACTATTGGGTGTTTTTAAATTAAATCAAACAATATAGATACAATATAAAATAATTATCTCACGAATATTTTGATGATTTTCCCTTTTAATTATAATAAACTACTAAAATTTAGCTAAATATGACTGAAGTATTAGTTTTTAGCTGATTATTAATTATAAATTATTATTTTTGGGTGCAGAAATAATGCCGGTAAATTTTCCCGGGAGTATGCGGTCTCTGAGGATGGTGTAGAGATGACGTTTGCCACTAATCACCTCGGTAATCAACCCTTAAACCTTTTTTTTGAAGAATTAAATTAAGCCTTAAACCTTGTTTGAAACCACGTTTAACTAGATTAGAAACCTTGTTTAAAGCACATTAGTTGATAATTCGTTTTACCTCCATTAAAAAAATCAACTTCTGATCTCCATAGTTTAATACTGTCTTAATTATATGTTAAACAAAATAATAATTCTTTACGCCTCCATTTAAAAATCAACTTCTACTTCTAATCTCCATAGTGTAATACTGTCTTAATTGTATATTTAAAAACATAGTGGTCCTTGAAGAAGGATATTTAAATTTACCCAAGAAAATGGCTCATGCTCATGTCAACAAGTTTTGAATTTCAACCTGCACCAAAGGTAAAATAGACCCCTGAACTGGTCAGGTTGGGCCCGAGTCTGGGTCTAGCCGAGGCCCAAAAAAAATGGGTTAGGCTAGACCCAGACTGAGACTCGAAAAAAATGTTATGGGACAGGTCAAGCTCGGCCAGGCTCAGGCAACGGGTCAGGTTGGACCCAAACCCAAAAAAATGTTATGGGACTCTAACCAGGACCCGAATTCATCTAAACCCAAACCCGGACCCGTACCCAAACCAAAAAATAGAATGTCTATTTATTTGACTATATTTAAATATATTTCATAAATTGGGACCTGAAAAATGTTATCGGACCCAAACCTGAATAGTATTTGGGTCTAAGATTTGGACCCGGATTCGACCCAGGTCGGGTCCTGTCCATTGCCATCTCTACAAGGGAGTAAATGGATATTATACTCCTACATAAGTATAAAATCTTTTGTCTTACAAATATGTGTGTTTGGAGAAGTTCATACAGGGCAGCAACTTTATTTTTAGAAAGCAAGATTGCAGTGTTATATAAGTGACTAGAGAATATTAGATTCAGGCCCTAGCTTCATGCTCTAATACTTTAATGCCCCTCGTGTCTACACTGTATCCAAGTGCCAACACGTGATTGGAGAAAGGTTGAGGGTTTAGGTTCCCTTCAAATTTAATAAGGGAGTAATAAATTGATATTTGTACCTGTTCATCTACTCATGTAATATGAAATGTGAATAAAGTATTTGCAGATTTGTTTATGGAAGAAAACGAATATGTGATTTATAGTTTTTGGACATTGGCTTTTTAAAGTGGGCAAAAGGCATATATCAATAGAATTAGTCTAAGTCTTTAGGTTCATTGTCCTTTTAATTTGTTAAAGGAAAATGGTTTGATAGGCTGCAGCTAAAACCTCACCTTATAACTCATAAAAAATTGCAATTCAAGGTTTGAAAAACTTTTAAATCGATCATCAGCTTGAACATTAAGATTTCAAATTCTAAAAATAGTATATATTGTAAATAAATTAAGATTTTAAATTTTAAAAATAGTATATATTGCAACAAATCATCTTGACCATCCATTTTGCCATAAAAATAATTGTTCACAAATCAAATTTGTACTATTTTTTTAGTTTCAAATTTTATTGTCGGTGTTCGAAATTAATTTTAGAGCCGTCATGAAGAATTCCAACACCGAAAGTGCTTTTCGGATGAGTATATGAGGTGAGGCTTTATTTTACTTTTATAAATCCTAGGCCCTATAGATACTTAATCCTTTCTTAAATAATCACGCTTTAATTTTTATAATTATTATTGTAACCTTCTGAGCCCACATCTCAATTTTAAGGAGAAACCCATTTTACTTATTCCAAAATGAATCCTTGCAAACACAAATTGAGTGGCTTGTTATCATTATTACCATCATCACTGGTGTTATCTTAAGGCCTTTCTTCTTCGAACACCTTGCCTTATCATCATCATCATTGCCATCATCATTACTAGTGTTATCATAATAAGACAGATGAAAGAATCGTCGAAGGGTCTAATCCAATTAAAATCGGTAAAACATCCTAAGTATGTTCGATCAGATTTAAAAAAAAAATTAAAAATAAGAAAAATAGGTAAAATATGAAATACACTGCATTATATATTTGTCATGGCCTTGTTAAAGTGGTCCAAACATATCAAATCCAGCTAATTTGACTTGCCCAAACTAGTGAAACATTGGTTTTAATTGATTTTCGATAAAAATCTATTTTCTATTTTGGACCAGACATTTTAAAGTACCGAACGGCATTCCAGTCGGCCCAATACAATCTTGATGATAAATTTATCAAATCACAGCTAATAATTATGGCTTTCTAACACTGAATATGGGCTATTTGAAAAAATGTAAGACGATGTAACTCATTGATATAGGAATTTAAAAGCATACCATCAAATGTAATTTGTAGTCTGTCGACCCCTTTAAGTGATATATAAAGGGTTTCAACCTTTTTTTATAGTTCCCACCCCCCTCTCCCCCATACCAAATGATAATCAATGATAAAATTACTAAAGCACCCCTAATAATTTTGGTTTCTCACACTGAATAAGAGCAATTTGAAAAAAAATCAACTTTATCTAAGGATTCAACTCATTGATATAGGAATTTAAAAGCACACCCTCAAATATAATTTGTAATCTGTCGACCTGTTTAGTGATATTTAAGAATTTTTATTTTATTTTTAAATGCTTTGCAGGCCATTTTCTATTAACAAATCTGCTTCTGAAAAAGATGATTGAAACTGCAAGAGAAACAAGCATTGAAGGGAGAATAGTGAATGTTTCTTCGAGCTTACATGGGTGGTACCATGGTGATGGAATCGATTATCTTGGACTTATAGGCAAATCCCATAAGAAAAGGTACCTCTCCCTCTCTCTATCCAATAGGTCCCAGAAGAAAAGGTACCTCTCCCTCTCTCTACCCAATAGGTTTCTCTCTAGAAAATAAATTTCTCTCTCTACTCCAAGAAATTTTGTTAATAAGTGCGGCTCTCTCTCTCATCAAGTGAAACTACTCTATTTCTTAGGGGCTGTATAATAATGGAGAAAGTTTCATACTTTCTCTTGTATTGTAGTTTCCACCCGTTTGAAAACAGTAAAATCGGAGAAAGTCAATAAGTATTTCCTTTGCTTTCCCTCTCTTATCAAGTGAATAACTCTCTCTCTCTCCCACCCTCTCCCTCTACTTCAAGAAAAAATGTTTTAACCAAGTGAAACTCTCTCTCTATTTAATAAATGTTTTTATCTTTATGGATACAATCTTGCCAAGAGATTGCAAGCTACAACTTTGGAAGCGGTGGCTTCCAAAGGTGTTACTTTCGGATAGGTGTAGTATTTCCCGTTTTATAATGAGAAGTACTATACAAAAATTTCCGAAGTTACGAATTCCTTCGGCATTAAAAGTCCCAGTCCACTTCCTTGGATAGCCACTTCTTCCCAAAGTCAAACACGTCATAAGATTGTTTTTAGGACCCAGATTTTATGATGTAACCTCATAAACCCAGCAACCATACTTGCTTAAAACGCATATCCTACATGGAAAACGTAGTCCTGATCATCTTTCAACTATGAGGTCTATATTTGGTATAAGTGTTTGAAAACTCGAATTCTTTTTCCTTTTTTTGAAAACACCAATTCTGTGATTGTTGATTGCATCTCAAAATTCAAGATGAATTAAAACGCTCACAATGTCTTTTTTTGCCCGAGGGAGCAAGCATGCTCCTAGAAGTATGTTATAAGCGCTCATCTATCTCTTTTGTGTTTGTTTTATTAGTTTTTTTATTGATATATTATAAGACCATTCAATTTTTAGTATAATGAAGTTACAATCACTTTAAGATATCAGATACAAAATCTGATTGTCAAGTGTGTGTCACATGGTTTGAGAAATTTTATTTTGATTTTTATGCCCAATCAATCCTATACTCCTAACCGCCCAGTTTTATATTTAATAATCAATAATAATTGTAACTTCATTGCGTCAAAAATAAACGGTCTTATTATATACTTATCCTACCTTTTATATTCTCACGAGTAGTGACACTCTCTAAATCTTTCGTTCTTACATGGTTACTCTCTCTTTCTCTCTGCACCAGTTTAATGGAGTGTTTGTGTGTGATATTATTGGTTTAGGAACTACAATGAGAGTCATGCCTATGCACTCACAAAGCTGGCCAACATTTTGCATGCCAAAGAGCTATCAACTAGACTTAAGGTATGCACCCCTTTTTATATAAAAAAAAAAAACTGAAAACTTTCCTAAAAAAGTACTCTTAGGTGCCCTCTTTTTATAGAAGTAAGGTGTACCTCTAAATTTAGCATAGAAATTCAATTTCAGCGTCGGAAACTTTATGATGTTTTGAAAATCTATTTTCAACTCTAGTTTATTTTATTTTATTTTTAATATTAATTGTTAGTAGTGTGCTAGCAATTTTTGAAACTGTTAGTAGTTTTCGAAAGGGGTTAGCATTGGTAAGAATGAAAACTGAGACCAGGAGCTGAGTTATAGGTGGTGTTAAATGTTTGATCGATAGGATTTGAACATAGAATCCCTCGTTTTTCATATTTCACTATCTCATGCTCGCTCTTTTCCAATTCATTCTAAGAATATTATGAATCTCATAGACCTCATACTTGAAAGATGATATCTAAATTAAGAGATCAGATCTATGAACACTTAAAAATCTTGAAAATAAGCAATTCAAATAAATTGTTACAAAGTACACTTTATGTAGAACTTAGCATACTTTTTTTTCTTCATATCCATACATCTCTAGTTCGAGATAATCAATTGAAGAATTTTCCTACATTGGAATAATCTTTTAGAGGATTTTTGTGGGGCACCCTACTTCAATAGTATAAGGTTGACATTTTATATAAACTTTTCCCAAGGGACCCCATACAATTTTACATTAAATCTAATTGGAGACTGTATTTTTTATGTTGAAAATCATTTATATCTACTTTCATGATCATGGATTTGAAAGGGAAAAGACACTCTTGGACACTTTTTTCTATATCATTTATTTCAAATCCTGACATATCCCCTAGATTTACTTTCTTGTTTTAGCCTTTAAATTCTACATACATGTAGTGAAATACATTTGCAAGCCATCTCAAGGTTTTGTATTGTTAGGATTTGGTTTTTCAAAAAGAGTATTGAAGTATAGCCTTGTCAAATTTCATAAATCTGAGTTCCACTAAAAACTTCGCCCATTTTAGAAAGTGAAAGTTTCAATAAGATCATTTGCATGTGGTACAAATGTTAGAAAGCATATCGACCGTCAGATATGAAATCGGATGGAGGAGAGTCTCTTATCGATCACATTTAAATTCTAAGAAAGATTCTCATTAATACATCAAAGAAATAAACATACTAAGATTTCAAATTTGATGACTTAAGTTGTTTTTTATAATTTTGCATCAGAGGCAAATGGTCTCATTGTATATACTTCCCCACACCACCATCAAAAAATAAAATAAAAAAATCCTTCCATTTATGTGTGTGCAATAATTTTATTTGGTTATTTAGTTGAATCTTGCTTGCCAAGAAATAAACCCAAATTATCGAGAAAAATGTGTTTGGCCTTGCAGGAAATGAATGCAAATGTAACCATCAACTCCGTCCATCCCGGGATCGTTCGGACAAGGCTCACCAGGGAACGAGAAGGGTTTCTTACAGGTAAATTTCTGAAATAATTCTGAGCAAACCGTGCCCAAATTTTTGCAAATTCTCATGCTAATGCATTATTTATGTGCAGACCTCTTTTTTTTCCTTGCGTCAAAGCTCGTAAAGTCGATTCCCCAGGTTAGATACCAGACTTAATATTTTCAAATTTTCTACTATTTATTATCCATGTTGTTGTCATTATTAATTAGATTCAATCGAGATTTGAAAATCCAATGGAATTTATGAAAACATGAAACAAATTATTTGTTACAAATCTTTTTGTTTTTAAAATAGAATGAATAGAATTAATGTGTCTGATATTCTATAAATATCTATCACACCCATGTTTTCTAAATCATAATTCCTATTTTACATTCTTATTTTCATGTCCTATATTTGTACCTTTCCACAGACCTTGCTTTTAATTTGAAGTAATTTCTCCATGCAATTTAGGCGGCAGCCACGACTTGTTACGTTGCAACAAACCCGAACCTCGCAGGTGTTTCTGGTAAATATTTTGCAGATTGCAATGAGGCTTCAACGTCAAAGCTCGCTGGAAGCAAATCTGAAGCCGAAAAGCTTTGGAAATTTTCCGAAGAAATGACCATGAAGAAACTATGACCTCTCTCTCTCAAATCCACACTCTCTGTGTTTCTATCTCATTAGTTTCTACTCTCTCTATTCTCTACTTTACACTCACTATCTCTGTAGTCTATTCTCTCTATACTTCACAGGAAAAGATCAAAAGAACTACAGTAAGGGGGAAAAAAGTTTTAGGAATAGTAATGGTAAAGAGGATAAATAGGTGTTGTACTTTTTAAGAGATTACAGTAGTTTTTATGTAAATAGGGAATTTTGTTGTTAGTTGGGAGAGTGGGAGAATAGGAGCCTTTTGAGGTTTGGGGAATTTACTCCCCCATTGTAGTAGTAGGCTCTCCCTATTAGTAATTAACATATGTAGAAAAATGTATACAACAGAATATTGATCAGTATGAACTTGTTATATATATATGAGCTTGTCATTAGTGCAAGTATTACTTTTGAGAAGTGTCATTAGTCCTGTAATTTAATGCTCATTAACAGATTGGGACTGTATCTTAGTATTTTACGCCTGATGATGATTCTTCCGTTTAATACAATATCAACGGACTGCCCGCCCAACGGACCTTTTTCGACATGAGCCGGATCCAGGGCTCGACCTAAATTTAAGATCTATTTGCTTAATTGGCTACTCCCTAGTCTTGTAAGTGCCCACCTGCTTACACTCCCTTTTCATGCTCATCTTACCTTTGCCATGTTTTGAATGTTGAGATTATATGTAGCACATTGTGTGTAAGTATGGTATGTGGTATTAAAACTCACAACGACAAGCCAAATGGGCAGCTAGAAATTCGGAAAATTTATCAAAATACCAATGAGAGATGCATGGTTTAACATTTTACACTCATAGAGGGAAATGGGATCTCACTAGAAGCTAAATTGCACCAAATCACAAATCGATTTAAGGGCAGTTTCTAAAAATCCAATAAGTGGGTATCGGCATTTTTTTTCAAAATGCATATTCAATCTTGGATCCAAACAAGGGACATACGCACGGCCTTGCATTTCTTCAATCATAAATAAAAATATAAAGTACAAAGCATCCCATCTATGTAAGTTTGAGAAGTTGAAAAAATGGCAATAATTCATTTGGATTTCTCATTATCTTATCTATTATGCTCTATTTCTATATTTTGGTTTTGATACGTTAATGGTGGAAATGGAGTGTAGAGGCAACGGCCCCGCTAATTATGTACTATGCTCTATGGATGTTTCTCACAGCATATTAGGGCAAGATTTCTATGCTTCCTCTACAGCATAAAACTTATATACTTCCCCTTATCCAATCGTCCATTCTGAATGGTAGGCTAAGATTGCCCCAATCACAATGTCACGTCTCTACACTATTTTATTTTTAATTTCTTTCTATAAACTATTTTGAAATTTTGTACATCCTCTATTAAACTCGCACTAGCGAAAAACATATAATTTTTTTTAATAAAATAAAATGACCAAAATACCCCTCAAAATTCAAAGGATATTTTGGTCATTATATTTTATCAAAAATTTTTTTTTTGATATTTTTTATAGGTGCGTCCAATGAGAAGATGAAACGTACCAAATTTCATATTCATACGATTTGTATAAAAAAACTGAAAATAAAATACTTTGAGACGTTGAATCTAAGATCAAACGGTGAGTGGCTCTTTTTATCAAAATTGAACGGCTGGTTGGTGCATAGATCTTCTATGCTGTAGGGGAAGTATAGAAACCTTTCTCGGCACATTAATGCCTTGCCTGCATTTTCATGTTAATATGCTATTTTACCCCGAAACTTTATTCTTGTTGAAGTCTCAGGTGTTTTACCCTGTGCATTATTCTTGCTGAAGTGTTATGTGTTAATATTAGACCATCGGCTTGATACTTTCATACGTGGAGATACTGAAAAATTGAATAAAGATTGAGGTTTGAACTCAATATATATTGTGCCAAAGTTTGTGTGGTTTAACTTATTGCTTGCAAACTTTCTTTTATAATGGTTAAAATGCTGTGTTTAAAATGCTGTGTTTATAATGGCTAAAAGTTGTGTTTAAAATTGGTTAAGTAAGATTTTTGAATAATTTGGTTAAAAGTTGACAAAAGATAAATACTCCCATTTGAGTTAGGGATTTATCGGGCTTTAATTATACAAAAAGAAGATTTTTGGTTGATCACAGCTATAGGGAAGAAGCGATGATATGAACTGGGGAAAAGGGCTTTAGTAGGTTCATAGTACTTTTTTTATTTCTTAAAAAAGAAATTATTAATATTAATTGCAGTCTTTGAAGAATATTCTGATGGTTTTAATTAAAAATAAATTGAATTTCGCACATAGTTATATAGATTATTGAAAATAGACGGTCTAGATCTCATGTTACGAAATGTACCATTTTTAATACTTGAAATTCTTTTTTTCGTCGTATCCATACATCTCAATATTGGAATGCTTCTAGATAATTTTTAAGATGTACCTTACTTCAATAGTATAAGGTTGCAACCTTATATAAACTTTTTCATTAATTAAAAAGTAGGAAAATTTTCCCCTGAAACCTTTGTATGGATGTGAAGAGGTATAAGAAAGTAGAAAAAAGGAGAAAAACTACAAACCTTCTACAACTCGAATAGATCTAAATTCAGAATAAAATTGGATGAATATGCAACTCTTGGTTGTACAAATAGTAGGTGATCCAAATAAAGAAATATAAATCCATGACCGCTATCCAATATCAACCCTCCTTATGAGAAATATATCTTTCAAAAACTTCAATTTCCAAAAAATAATCAATTATAGGAAGTCGATCTCCAAAAAACCAAACGGCATCCCTTTGAACAAAGGGTGTGTATACTATGCTTCCATAGGAGCATGTTATACTTTACTCGTTCCCCCAGATGACCTACTTGAGAGATTTTTTAATTTTTTAATATTTTTTAAATCTAAACTAGGTAATAATTTTAAAAAGATAAACTTTGAATTTTAACTTTTCCAACACTTAGATCATACCGTCAAAAAATTAGATGGTCATGTTCAGTCTTGAGACTATTTTCTTCAAGCTCACAAATAATGCCATTTGGGAATTTTTTTTATTGAGGTTAATCTGGGAGTCGAAAATTTTACACCTCCAAAATTTTGGGTCCCACATTACTCCTAGATTGAAATTGACGTGAGGGAGTAAATGGACAATGTGCTAAATCATTTAGCTTGAACATAAAAAAAGAACAAGAAAAAAGTAAGTAAAAAATGGTAAGTCAATGGGGATTTGAGCCCCTACCCTTTGGTGATAATGGGGTTAGAGATTTCACCATGGGGATCAACAATATTACGGCCAAGGCCCATGCCATTCTCATTTAGCTTGAACATAAGGCTAAATGAATCCAACTTTTTAAAATGGTATTGCGTACTATATGACCTTTTACATATGGTACAAAAGGGTAAGATTAAGGTTTTATTTAAAAAAAAAATTGTAAATTGTAGTTGCGTACTTTTCACATCTAGCATGTAGGTGATTATCACCTCCTTGTACTAAAAAAACATATTCTTATCATGCACTTTTCTACTTAAGATGTCCCAAAAAATTCAAAGCCCTTCTATTAAGAGGGCCACACAGGATTTGAATATTTACTATAACAAATCGACATAACATTTTCATGGGATTGTCTACAAAAAGATCATTTTTTTTTTGTATATGGAGATCACAATCATTATTGTCCCTTAAATTTCAAAGTGAGTGGTTGTAATAGTGTTATTGAATAGACACAAAATTCCAAAAAAAATTTCTCGGACTTCGCGACTCACTCCAAGCCATCCAATTAACATCTAATGAGTGGGAATGATTATGACCTTCATGTATAAAAGGTAAATGGTATTTTTATAGACAATCCCAATTTCCATATGACCCCATCGAGTCATTGAAAATTATGGGAATTTTCAATACTTTATTATTATTATTATTATTATTTTGAAATTGAACACGCAAATGGTTGCCAAACCTTACAAAGATAATACCAAACAATAAATTGGTTAACATTTTTTTATGCAGCCATGATTAGGATTCCCATGGTTGAGGCTTCAGAAGTACAAATGTACTATTTGTATGGATCATTATAGCAAACTATGCAGGCTTTGCATCCTATAATTGTAGTTAGTGTTAATTATAGCTATTGTATCCTTTAATGATAGCTAGAGCCGTAGTTGGTATCCTTTGAAGACAGCTATAAAAGGGTGAGATTTGTAGAAGGTTGCCTCCTTTTACTGTAACAGTAAGGTGCACTTCTAAATTTTTTTTAGAGATATCATTTTGGTGTTGGAAACCATATGACGGCTCAAAACTTATTTTCATTCATAGTTATAAAATTTCAAAATTTTAAAATGGTACAGATCAAGCATATCAATAAACATTTGAAAATCTTGAAAATAAACGATTCAGGTTACTTGTTGCAAGATGCAGTACCTTTTGAACTTGGAATTCTCTTTTTTTTGTCATGTCTATACATCTCAAGGTCGAGATGATCATTTGAAGGCTTCTCCAATGTCAGAACGCTCTCTTGTAGGATTTTTGAAATGCGCCTTATATAAATAGTATAAGGGAACAACTATATATAAAATTTTCCATAAAATACAAACCTTTTTTAATAAACACAAATAGTACGCATTGTTTATACATATGAATAGTACGCTTGTACTTCACATGTTTCAGTTGTATAGAGGTGGGAGTAGGTATACTTCATATAAAAAGTTGCACATGTTTTTGAAGTGGTGCATATTAAATGATCACAAAGGGTGAAAAATATTTCAATAACTTGTGTGAGTGTGCACTAAGGTAATACCCTTTATATATGTTTAGGGTACTCCGGCTCAGCATCCAATTGATGAGTTTTTGCATACTTTTATGGTTGCATTATAAATATTTTTTTTTCATTTTATTGTCAGTAATGAAATTAATTTTCAAAACTCATGCCTAGGCTAGGACTCACCAGGTCCAGAACTTGACTGGCCCAGATCAACTTGTGAGAGTGTCAAGTTGGGAAAGTGGTTTGTAAATAAAGAATTCAGTAAGTTTTCAAACCAGAGACTTAGGATGGGTTTTGAGACTTTGCCCCAGGACTCGCCAGTGTGCAGAGCAAAGCTGCCTTGGGTGAGTCTTGAGTCAAGTCTTCGACTTTTCAATCCCGGGTTTGGATGAACAATGTTGGGTATGATTATTGGAATACTAATACCAGTTTAGTATTCGATCCTCAACAAATATATTTGCAGAAAAAACCTCTGATGTGGTTGTTTTCCTTTGATGTTAAGGAAACTAACATGGTTGACCTCTGCTGTTATCCCCAAGCAATGTTTGGAAACATGGATCAACAAGGTGGATTATTCACCCCATTGATATGTGTATGGTTGCTGATTTCCAAATTGAAAATTTATAGGGTATTTAAGAAAATTTTAGATAAGACCTAATAAAATATTAGATAAGGCAATTTTTTTTTTTTTTTTTGTGGACCGATTGTCATAGTGTGAGAATCGGTTGGATCGCCTATCCAAATTGGCATTCTCTGATTTGGGCAGGTTTCCCAGATGTCCGGTTCCCCTGACCGACCCGGGTTTCCTAGGTGGGTTTTTTTGTCGAGTATTTATAAAAAACTTATTGGAAAAAGTTAAAATGTAAAACTTATACTATATTTTTTGTCATGGAACAACTATAAATTCCCTATAAAAGCCTTTTATTTAGTCAAGTCTATAAAATCTGAGCTTATATAGGGTACTAAGATGAAAGTAAGTTCTAAACCTCTTTCAAAAATTAAAACTTCGATGATAGATTTACAATGTATTTTTTAGCTAACAACGATTAATTTTAAAACTTAATCAAAATTCAGTCTTCAAAATACTCTGTTATTATCATCTAAGGTTATTATTGGGATATAAATTCAAATTATCGTCTCCTGAGAAAATCATGATAAATTCAAATTACAGGAGATAATTGTCGCTGTATGAGGTACTCCCGCGGGAGCACGCTAAAGAACGTCCGTCCATGGTCTACCCCCGTCTCATGAACCCTAATCTCGAGAAAGGCTGCTTTACATTGAGATCCACAGTTCTCAGAGAGTAAGAGAGAGCTTCACATCGTTTAGAGAGAGAGAGAGCTTCACATCGTTTAGAGAGAGAGAGAAGGAGCTTCACTTCGCTTAGACAGAGAGAGGGTGAGAAAGAGCATAAACCCCTCTCCAGTGACAGAGCTTCTCACTCTTCACCCCTCTCCCGTGACAGAGCTGCGCACTCTTGCAGAGAGAGAGAGAGGCAAAAATGGCGTCCGTTTTACCAGAAACGGTGCCAAAGCTTTTCACAGCAGAGACCCTGAAATCAGCAGCGAAGCAGTCTCAGAAAATCGTCCTTGTCCCTCACCGACTTCGCAGAGCCATAAAAAAATTCATTCAAGGCAAGATAAAACCCCCTCAATTTTGTACTTTCACTAATTAAAATTCTCAAATTCGTGGTCATTTGTACTTTCTCTCTCTAACATCCCCTTATTCGCCCCTACTTTGCGCGGTCTTTCTCTAATTCACCTCGCCTCTGCACTCTCTCTAAAATTCCTGCACAAATGTCACATCTGAAATTTGAATCCACGGGTGCCAGAACAGGAGAAGGAGAACATGAAGAGGAAGGTCCTCCGTTTATCTCAGTCTTTCAATGAGATTAAGGGAGCTAATCTTTTGATGGGTGACTCTGTCTCTAGAGAATTAGTCAATAATCCACTGGGTTCAATGGAGACTTCAAAGAGATGGAAAATCAAGAGCTCCTATGGTGATATTGGTCTCAAATACATGGATGATGAAACGGTGGCTTATGTGGCTGCTCGAATGCCTGCTGTGTATTCTGCCTGTTACAGAGTCCTTAAAGAGGTGTTCTTTTATTCAGTTCTTGATATCTTAAGAAATTATTTAACTCAATTTTTCGTTTCACTTGTCAATGATTTTTCACTTTCTGATGTGAATTTGATATTGGTTCTTGATTTTTTTGCTACTGAATGTGAATTTGAATTGAGAAATTTATAGGGGCAATATGTTTTTGGTTGAATTTCACATCAGGACGATATAAGGTTATAAAATCATAAAATGGAAACCTTTACTTTCATTTTTTACAGTAATTATTACCTGTTATTAGAAAAACATTACATACATTTAATCTACTAAAAGTTAGCAGTTCAATGCACGTTTGAATAACATATGAGGAGAATCATATCCTATACTTGGAAATGTCGTACAAAGGAATGCTAGATAGTTATTAATGGTTTTTAGCAATGGAGTTTTGGTTGATGAGGTCATTTCAAAGTGGATGTACCTCGAAACAGGTTTTGGTAACAGTTTGATTTGGTCTAACACCACCACTTGTTGTGGGGAGCCCCTACTTCAACCAAGCTGACATCCATAACCAACTTGGAAATAATTAAAACTTCAATTTTAAAAATAAATAGAAACCAAGAGAGATAAAAACTGCAAACTCTAATTATATGAACACTGTACAAACAAAAAGTAAATGTATAAAGCACAAGTGGTTCCCCTTAATTGTGCTATATCCATGGGTAAGCAACAAGGACATGATCTCATTATCTTGAACGAGCCTATTAGATTCAAGAAATGCAGTGTTACATTATAGATTGATAACTATTTATTCACCTCTCCACCGCCATTAACAACCATCATAAAATCTCACCTTTGTTGCTGAGTTGGAGGATGAGGGGGAACAGGTAGTGCACTAAACCCCATATAGGAAGTTGGTGGTTGATACAAGCTCAGGCATGTCATGCGATATTTGCCTCATGAAAATGATAGGCATCTCTAGCATAATATGACTTTCAAATTCTCTGACATGGCTATAGGACCCAGCTGTCCATTGACATGTTCGACATCCGTAGGGGCAGGCCGACCTGCATTGCGTTGGATGAACCCTCTTTTGGAGCCAATATCTCCTCCCTTTCTTGGGGTAATGTTGAAAGGGAGTATCTTACATGTGTTCACAAACGTGACTATGAAGGTCTTGGAGCTTCGGGCTGATTTGGATACGTGGTGGTGCAACTTCTCAATCAAGGTGTGTTGCATGGAGTTGGCTTGGAGCCCCACTTGTTGTAGCCATTTTGTCAATGCAACATCAGTGGTATATTCAATATTCGGGACATTTGGGCCAATATGTATGCATGCATGTGTTTGGAGCGTACATATATGCATATATGTGTTTGGGGTGTCTCAAAACCTAGCTGGCTGCCTTGGCTCCTAGAAGCCCTGTGGCCACCTTGGCCTGCCCAAAGTTATTTACAACCTTTGTTGTTAGGCTTTCTCAGAAAGAAGCAAAGCCACCTATTTCCAATTTCACCTAAATCTGTACCAAATCCTTATTCATTGAGTCTTTTCTCCCCAAAAAAAAAAAAAACAGAGCTTATTTATCCATTTCTTTCTTTCAAGTGACTGTTGTGGCCCTCTTGGAGTGATTCTTTCAATAAATGAATTGCCCCCAAACTAAGAGAGGAAACCCGATCAATATTCATTGGAATGTGATTTTGATGTCACAACCCCAAAAGGGATATGAAAAGTAAGTCTTGATTTACAGAATGTGGTATCAAAGCTGTTGTAGGAAGGAAGGAGAAAGAAAATAGATGTCTAATTGATGCGAGGAGGGAGGGAAAAAAAAAACTAGAAAAATAGACGATAGAAATAAATGGTGAGAGAATTGATGCAAATAAGATATTGATTTTTTAATTTTTGATTTTTCTACGACTTTATTTGGATTTTTAGTTTTCTCTAGCGTTATTATTGTCTTTTTTAGTTGTAGAGATTTAAGGGGTAGAATTAGAAGTTTAATTTTTTTTTTATAAAAAGATGGATATGGATAGGGATTAGCATGTTTGGGTTGGTTTGGATATGTTAGACTTGGTTTTAAGAGATATAGATTTATTTTTGTTTGTGGGTTTTTATTTATTTATTCTTACAAGTGTATTTAAGGGGAAGATGACTCTTTTTTGTAAATGAAGAGATTAATGATGATTGAGTAAATACTTTGATCTTGTGAAAAGATTTTGGGTTAGACTCCCTTGCAGACCTAGAGAGAGCTATAATCTCTCAAAATCCTTTTTAATTTTATTTTACTTTTCTAGTTTATTATTTTCTTTCCCTGGATCAGTTGGTATCAGAGCCTTGAGATGCCCGCTGATCACTAACAATTGTTGATCTAGTTATGGAGGGCATAGATCAAATATTTGAGCGATTAAATAAAAAAATTAAGACTCAAAGAAGACTTGATAGAACGTATCGGCAAAGTAATACAACAAAGTCTATAAGATTTGTTTAGTAAATTGCAACAAGAGGTTGATCTTGATGCAAAAGACGATGTCAATAGCCCAAATTTGAAAGAATTTCTAAAATCAATTGTGAAAAGAAAAGATATGTATGTTGTAGCTTATGAAATATTGCCCTGTGACAGGAACTGGGCTTGGGTTAAGACAATAGAGGCTAGGTGTTCATAGCCCAACGTCTCAAGTTCTATTCCTATGTAACCTTGTCAAAAAAAAGAAAAGAAGAAATATTGCCCTGTGAGCCTGAATGAGAAATCAAGGTTCAGTTTGGTATTCCAGAGTTCGGTAACTCAGAGTTCCACCACAAATTGTGTTGGATCAATTGGTTTATTGAACACAAAGTACGGAAAAGAATGGTGGGAGTACTTCACCAATTATTCGATTGGCCTCTGAGGGCTGTGAGCATGAGGTCGAGCTTCTCCTAACCCCGAGAGAACGATACAGATAAAAAAGTGATTTTTTTTTAAAGTTTATATTTTTCTAGAACTTAAAAAATGTGTTATTTGGATTTTTAGTTTTCTTTAGGGTTATTTTTGTCTTTTTTAGTTGTAGAGATTTAAGGGGTAGAATTAGAAGCTCAGTTTTCTCTTAAAAAGATGGATATGAATAGGGATTAACATGGTTCGGTTGGTTAGGATATTAGACTTGGTTTTAAGAGATAAGAGAGAGATAAAGTTATTTTTGTTTATTTATTTATTTTTCTTCTAGGTGCATTTAAACGGAAGATGTCCATGTTTTTGTAAATAGAGATTATTGGTGATTGAGTAAAGAGTTTGGTCTTGTGAAAAATCTTGGGGTGGGCTCCCTTGCAGACCCAGAGAGAAGGTATAATCTCTCAACCCCTTTAATTTTACTTTGTTTTTTTTGGTTTATTATTTTTCTCCCTGCATCAAGAATATACCATCTCTCAAGGTTTGCAAGGAAGTCCACCCCAAAGATATTTTCACGAGACCCAAAATCCGTTCTTCCTCTCTTCTCCCTTCTTTTTCTTGTCCAATAGTTACATATTTATAGAAGAAAACAACCCTAGAACTTAATTTTCTCCATAAGAAAACTTAATCAATATCAAATCCTAACCCTACATCTTTTAAATGTCCAGTTTTAACCCTTAGTTCTCTACAAGTAAAAAGACATAAATGCCCTTAAATAAAACTACAAACCCAAAATAATTCCAAGCCTAAAATCTAAAAAGTAGTAAAATAAATTTTTTTTAAGACCCATTACATCTAAAGCTCAAAGAAATTTGTGTAATAGTTCTGGTGAAAATGACGAGTTGTAAATTTGAGGTGCCAATTTGAACGTTCATACTTTTTTGGTACAATGAGGATAATGTAAAGCAGTTGTAGGGAATGCTAAGAAACTAGTAAGCATGAAGGATCATGGTTGGAAGAATAATATATGAAGTTACTTGCAAAAGATGAAGTATGATTAAATCTAGTAGGAGAGAAAATGGTGTAGTCTAAGGTTGAAAGCTTGTTTCAAACCAAATCCCTCATAAATTGATTTTTCTTGAAATGAAAGTTGTTTCTTTGAGGAAGGAGGCTTGTGTAGAGATTTGTGCGAGAGATGAAATTAGGGGTTATACTCCTTTATAGGAAACCTTGACAATCAGTGCCATTTTTTTTGTAGCGAGAATGGTGTGAATCATTGAAATTAAGAGTGGGAATTTTGCTAGCATTGGTGACTTGGCATTCTTTGATGGTTAACGGTAGTGATGTGAACTAATGGTTGCTTACTTACATGTAACACGAGATTGTACATTCCAAATACTGTAATTGTTTCAAGATAATGAAATCAATCTTTGCCCTGCCTATGGATGTAGTCCATTAGGGTGGATATCATATACTTTTTGTGTTTTTGTGGTTTTTAGTGTGTTGTTGTAATATGAGTTTTTGGTTCTTGCTTCTCTTGGTTCCTATTTATTTTTCCCAAATTGGTGTGTTGTTCTTCTAGTTTACTCTCTTCAAAAAAAATTGTGTGTTCTTGGATATCTTGGGTTTCTTGAAATCTATTTCTTGGCATTTGCAAGTTGGTTTTTAGTGTTGAATATGTTATTGTCCGGGTGCTCGTCATAATAAGTAATAATGGACGAGTCTTGGTCTCTGACAAATTTAAGGTTTGGTTGGAATTTGTTGGAAGTGTGCTTGTGATAGCTTCTAGTGATTTGCGGTAAATCCATCGGTTTAAACATGCTTTACATTTAAGTGTTGTAACTTCATATAGCTTACCATTTTCTTTTCTTGCAGGTGCGCCGCCGATTGCCAGATTTTTCTCCTTCTAGGGTATTGGATTTTGGCTCTGGCCCAGGTTCGGCTCTATGGTAACTAGCTGAACCTTTGTATTCTGGCATCTTCTTCTTCTTTTCATTTGGGAATAATAAATTAATCTAATGTTGGTAATGCTTGTAGTAGTGCCATCATTTGATGGAATTGTTTCACCGATTTGATACCCTATATATACAAAGGAGGTACTGTTTATATCCATTGGGCAATGCATTACTTGTATATTGATTCCCTGAGATGCATATCAGGTTGATTAGTTTTCCCTTAGCCTTTATTTAGCTCTTGAGAATATTAAGCAGTCTATTTATGTATTTTTGGGAACTGTTTGTCACGACTTTCTGTTTGGGACTGTTCACATGTTGAATGCTATACCAATGGGATGCCTTGAATTGCAAGCTTGCCAAAATAGTTTATTTTGTTCAAGAGCCAGATCGAAGACTGACCCAATAAATTATGAGTTCTGTTTATGTCATTTTGTGTTGGAATTGTCAATATTGATGGGCCTTCACTTGTGGCTGTTATATTTATGTTTGTGATTAGTGGCATATGAGAATGGTTTCTCTTTTAGAATGGAAGAATAGCCAATCTTTGTTGATGCAGATAAATAATGGTTCGGAGACTGATTTTAACATAGTTTATAAACATCTGTTCCAAGTGAAAGTGATCATTTGGTTTATAGCTTTTCGTCCCCACCCCACCATCCCCTCCCAAAAAAAGTATCCTACTCAGGTGTTGCTTATGATCTGAAATAAATGAGAAAAGTAATAAGTGGCTTAGTTTTAAATTTTTGGAGTGGCTTTCTTCACTTATGTTGTCACAAATGCATGGAAAAATGTAATTTTCTTTTTGGTTTTATACCTTCAAGAGTTCTATCTCGTTATCATGCTTTGTACTCTCGTTTTTTACCTTTTTGGGTCCATGTTACCTTTTAGCTTTTAACAATATAGTCAATTACCATAGATTCTTAATGCAATCATAACTTTTGAACACGACACTGAAAACTCATTATTGTCTGCTGTATTTAAATTGTCTCCTAAAGTGCGCTTTTTTTTTATTTATTTTATTTTTTTTAACGATAGTTGCCTTGTCCATCACATAATATATCTCCAAATGTGAAGCAATGTGGGTTTCTGACACCTTTTTTATTCTACCTTGAATTTCCAAAGCCTATATTTCCTTTATGCCAATCTAATCGAAGTCTTGTAGGGCTCTGCGAGAAAATTGGCCTCATTCTTTGGAAAGAGTTAATTTGGTGGAGCCATCCCCTGCGATGTTGCGTGCCAGCGGAAGCCTTTTACAAGGTATACAAGTTCACATGATTCTTCTCATTTAGAATCCATGATGGGATTGTATTGGTTTGCGATCAATTGAAAAAAAAAAAAAGATTTCTGGTGGTAGTGGCGATAACTATTGTAAAATGTCTTAGTATTGAGATAGTTCTTTGTGATATATTCTTAATGATGATCACAATCATTAAATTCCTTTTCATTCTTCTGCGGAAGGGTGGCATGGTGGCTTACTGTAAGCATTCAGGTTAGAACTATACAGTTTTCGAGAAAGTGATAACTGACAAGGTAAAACTTAGTTAAAGTTCGGACACTAGAGCAAAAAGAAAAAAAAAACACGTAATTGGGGTTTGAAGTGCTGCTGTACCACTTAAATGGGTTTTTGATTCAGAATTTGTGGGAATCTATATAGATTAGAGTGTCCTAGACTTTCGTACATGGGAGTTGATCTCCAAAGTGTCTTCTTTGGAAAATTATTAGGTGGGCTTTGTGTTCCAGAATCTTAATGGATTTTGCATATCGTGGTGGATTGCTTTCCTTGAGGTTCTTCTTTTGCATTCAACAGTTTTTTTTATGGCTATGTGACGAGCTCATCTTTGCTTATCAGTTATCACAAAAAATTTGAATTTTTTTTCTAGTAATGTTTAGTGTTCAGTTATAAAACAGTTGGTTCTACTCATGTGGATGGGTTCGTTTTTTATTTATTTGATAGATGATAGTTCATTTTACAATCATAGGAAGCTCAATTAAAATTTGCAGGTCTTTTCCCTCAGTGTGCACACATACCATCAATGTTACCCCGAATTTGGCACTTTGTTTTCAATTTCTATAAAGTGAGTCTGTCTATTTAGTTTTTGATCCTTAAGTTTCATTAAGATATATTCTATTTTGAATTTGTGGTTGTTCAAGAAAATATAAATTATTTTATTATGAAAACCTGAATGATGATATATTTTTACATTTTAAACTTTTGTTTGAATGACAGTACCCTCCAATAAGTTACTTATCCCATTGCTATAATGATAATCGCCACAGATTGGGATCCTAGGAAATTGTACGGACAATAAACTATATGACCATTCATTGCATGCATTCGACCATTTGAGTTGAACTATGTTTTGCTTTAGGCATGCTTCTGTTAGGCTTTTTAGGGTCTTTCCTAGCATTCTAATATTTTTTAAAAATGTTTATAGTATCTGAAGAATTCTGACTTAATACTTCAGGTAAAAGCATTATTTTGCAGTTGCAATTTTATAATTTCATGCAAGTTTTATGTATTGGTCAAGTTTGTTTGTGCATTATATATTCATTTTATATTATGATGGATGTACCATTAACTATTTGGGAACTTGTGAAACTTCTATGTTGGGTCTTGAAGATGTGAAAGGCTTGCCTCGGATTCAGGGATATGATAGCATTCAAACATTGCGACAAGGAGTTCGAAAGTCTGACCAAGAGCATGACCTTGTTATTGCTGTGAGTTATCTGCTTTTTTGCTTCATGATTCTTGTGGCTCTTGTCACTTGTCATATATGCATGACAATAATTCTAATAGGTGTCCTTCATATTCTTTTATTTGATGTTTTGGGGCTTTGATCATATTGTTCTTACAATTCTTTTTATTTTGCCATGTTACACGCTATATATTTTATTTTTGTACATATCATATTCCTTTTTTCCTGTTTCAATTGATTAGGGTCCTGATGGTTGGTGGAGAATGAAGTTGTTACTGACATTTTCTGCTGAAAACCACATAGTTGTTACTGACTTTTTCTGCTGAAAACCAAATATAAAAATGGACTTTTTTTTTTTAAAGATCTCAACAACAAAGGTCAACCATACATATAAATTGTGGTGAAAGAATATATCCTTCTGGTCTAGATTTTTTTATTTGATTGTTGCTGTTATGTTCATATAATTGTGAAAAATGACATCAAAGGGAAACATTGCTGATTGCTCTATGGCAGCTTAAATACCATAGCTCCAACCATTCCATAGCTACCTAGGATTCTGATATTTATGAACAAGAAATATTGTCACGTACCTTTCAGTGTGCTCATGTGTTCAATGTTGTATGCCTAAGTGTATTTTGCTTAAAGATTGTCATAGATCTTTAATGGATATACAAAGAGAAGGAAAATAGAAGTCCAATTTTATTGCAATAATAGTTTTATGAGGTTATAATGCACCTGATTCAATAGTGATTTAGAAGTTTGAGTTTTCTTCGTGTTAATAGTGGAAAAGAAGAAAAATATGATGAAAATGGATTCTGTTTGGTGATGCAGTCGTATGTGCTTGGAGAGATACCATCAGTGAAAGACCGTATCACAGTTGCACGCCAGCTTTGGGATCTCACCCGTGATGTTTTGGTACATTGATTGACCTGTTTTGTTTGTATTGATTTTTTTTTCCATCACACTTGAACCCGGCAGTATTATTTCCTATAATTGAATGATGACGGTGCTGATACGATTCAAAAATAAAGATAATACTTCTATTTGCAAGCATTTCTTTTTCATTTCCTCTAGCTGTGCATTTGCATTTGCTGCTTGCATTTGATTATCACATGCCTCATGTTTGTTGAAGCTATAACTTTGAATTTTTAGCTGAGTAGTGGAATTTGTGTATGGTAGGTTCTAATTGAGCCAGGAACACCCCAGGGTTCAAGCATCATTCGGCAGATGAGATCTCATATTCTATGGATGGCAAAGAGGGTAAGTTTATGAGCCCGTCTGCTGAGTTCTGTTCATTAAGAAAGCTAGTTTCATTAGGGAAGGTCTCATCATTTCTTTGTAGAAGGCACCGACCTTTTTTTGATAGCCATATTCAATTCGTGGTTGTTCTGACTTTTCCCAATCTTGAGTTCAATTTTCTAATGAAAGAAACAGTATTTGTTATTATTAACTGAATGAATGTTAGAAGGTAGATAATCCAAGAAAAATAATTGATTCCAAATAAGCTAAAACAACATACTTTTGTCTTTACAGAAACTCCGGAAGGTTGAGAATATGCCAAATGCAGCTTCAAAGGACCTGATGATACGCTCAAAATATGGTGCATTTGTGGTTGCTCCTGTGAGTTATTAACATTATTGTTATTGTTGTTGTTATTATTATTATTTTGCATTGTTCTTGTCATCCTCTCTGGCTATAACTTTTACTGTTGAATACGCTATTATGGATTCGCGACTATTTCTTGTAGTGTGCTCATGATGGACCTTGTCCACTGGAAAACTCTGAGAAATATTGTCATTTTGTTCAAAGGCTGGAGAGGACATCATCTCAACGTGCATACAAGGTATCAATTTCCTTTACACCCTAACTATACAACAACAACAACAACAACAACAAATTTGTAACTACAAGAAATGAAAGAAACCTCCAAAAAGAATTTGAATGTCATTTTAAGTTTTGATTTAAACAGAGGGGATTGACTAGCTTATTAATTAGATTTGGATATGTATGTTTAGTTCTTTTATTTCCTGCATCTTGCTGTCTTTTGCCTACATTGCCATTTGGGTTTCAGAGATGAGAGTATAGCTTATTGAGGATTGTGAGAATAATACAAGAATTTCATCACCTTTTCTGCTGTTAATAATTTATAATGCAGAGATCAAGAGACCAACCACTGCGTGGTTTTGAAGATGAGAAGTTCTGTTATGTGGCTTTAAGACGAGGGGAACGCCCAGGGTAACCTCATTTCTCTCTGAACATGAACTTTCTGTATATTTGAGGAATGCGAAGCACAATGACGACCTTCCCTTGCAGCCTTGCTAGTCCTTATGTATAATAGATTTTTAAGCTTCTTTCATTTCTTTGGAGCTGCTGCTGCAAAATCTGCTTAAGATGTGATATGGTAATGACCATAGTTGTCCATGGGAAAGGGAGTCTTCGCAGCAAGGCTTTGTGTGTGTGTGTGTGAGGGGGCACGTGCGGCCGTGCATGCGTCTATATATACAGGACGCACGTGCGCCTATATATATAATGTGTTATTGGCCCAAACATCAAATGCCTATAGAGGGGGATTTTTTACCACCTGAATTTTTTTCTAAACATTTTCTATTCAGCTTGTGAATTAAAAAAAAAATAATAAAAAATTATGAGCTCTTAAACCTTATTATGTGTTTTTTTTTGTGTGTGTGTTCTTGTGGTTTGATTTGTGGACTCCAATCGGGGCCATATACCAGAGAAAACACCAAAAATAAGGAACTTGTTTTGTAAGGTTGTACTTAAAATTTGGGGGTTCAGAAATCTCCCGAGTCTGGAATATAGCTGGGTTCTCTTAGACCACCAATTTATAGGTTTACAGGGCCTTGCTTACTCCAAAAGGGCTGATTGACACTTATGAAGGAGGATTCATGACCCAAATCTTCCCCAGGGAATGTGGCCCTGCCTTGCTATCTTTTGAGAGAGCAGTGGTGCGCCTCAATGCTGGATGTCAATAGGTTTTTTAGGGCAAGACCTGATCCGCTAGGAAAGTGTGTTCCTACGTCTAATTCCTAATTGGTTGTGAATTTTATTTTTTGCTAAATTGAGGCTTGGGATTTGATTTGAGCTCTTTGGAATTTGGGATTTGGTTTGGGATAATTTGGGATTTGGAGTTTGTTTCTCACGCTAGGAATGGTTTAGGGTAGTGTTCGGGCCTCAAGCTTAGGCCTTTCTCTAACTAGGTTTTCAATTTCTTTCAAAATTTCTAACCTTCGAACCCCTTCACATGAAGAGAAAGGGGGTATTTATAGGCCCTTCTTGGAACTTGGGTGAATGATCAATTTTGGGGTCGATAAATTGGTAAATCATCAAAATTTGTGCTGTAATTTTCACAAAGGGCAAGTTTGTTATGCCCTAAATTGAGAAAATATCATCATCTACCCTTGGAAAGCTTGGGTTTCCATGTCTTCATCAAGTTCACTTCTTATTTTCCCTTTTTTAAACCATTTTTTGGTTGTTTTGACCATATAGGTTTATAGAGCATTCTTCTAGGAGCATTTTCATCAAATTTGACAAAAACTCCAAGATTTGAGTGAGTTATGAGCTTTTTTGTGGATTTGGAGCAAAATTTCATGAAACTTCCTTGTTCTTCTATTTCTGCTCATTTTAGTTTTTTAATCGATTGCTCCTTGTATCAATTCTGTTAAGTTGTGGAGAATAATTTCATGAATATTTGTATCAAATTTGGATAAACAAACTCTATGATTTGAAGGAGTTATATTCATTTTATTGGGTCATTTTACAAAATTCAACAGTCTTCCTATTTTAGCCACTTTTAAGCTTCCATCTGTCCCCAACTCTTGTTTTAAACCCCTCAACAAATTATATTGATGTTTAGGGGTTTGAGTGAGGATCATATCTGCAAAATTTCAGCTTAACATATGCATGGAGAAATTGATCGAAAAGTGGATCTAACTCAGGGGGACTACAATTCATGAACACCTTTTCCATCTCTTACATTTCGATTCAGTCTGGTATTGATCCATGAAGAGAACCCCTTTGATACATACCTTGTTGGATAGATCCCTGAATTAGGAACATGCCTCGACTCATTTGGCCATGTGATTTGGGAGATATGATCGAAACTTGGAGGAGAAGTCATCTCGTCACATTGCTGATTTTTGCTCTTCTGCTGGTAGCCACAGCTACAGGAATGTCTTTTTGCATAAAAAGTGGTTGTCCTTTGGTGTGCCCTCAAAGATCACTTCGCAAATAGTACTTTTTGATATCGAATTGAGCTCAAATTTGGAATACAAGCTTTTTAGGAAAGTCCGATCTTCATATTGGACATTGATTTCTAGGGGTTCCTTTGTAATTTTGCCCACATTTTGGGCCCGGACTCTGCTTCCTCAGTGATCTTCAACTCTGTAAGCTTGTATCTCGGTCATCTGCTATCGGAATAGCATGATTTTGGAGGGAACTATCGGGGCACCCTAGATTAAAGTATGGATACTTAGGTCACCATTTGAGGCACGTTTGACTAGTATTAGACAAAGCCCCTTTTAAGGTCGTCCATTCATTGGTTGGACAATGTGGCGTCTTTCGACCTCCTTCGCTTTCATCAGAGAAGGCCCTTATTACATACTATGGACATCGCCGAAGTTTGAGCTTGACCTAAGACTGCTTTCATTGCTTGTGTTGAGTTCAGTAATTCCAACGGGTTTCTGGTGGGTACAATGCCGGGGGCTTGTTTAATCAATCAACTCTATGCATCGCGTTTGGCGAGCTGCCATTTTGGTTTGCCAACATTTCCCTGCATTTGCGAAGCCAATACGGGTCCCTTTGAATGTCCAAACCCCTAGGCGGGACTGTATTCTAGTTTTGTACTCCGCACTTGCGGAAGCTTTTCCATGCTCCACTTTGGGTAATTTTCATTGAGTAGAAATACCGACAAACTCATCGTCTAACAATGGACCCGGCTGTGTCATTAGTGGAATGAGAATTGATTTGGAGCACTTTTTGAGATCGAAATTATTTTTTCTAGACTTAATCTTAGTTAAACAAAAGATGATTTGACAGTTTTCGGGTGAAACAAACCCCAGCTATGTTTAACATTGTATTGATATGTTTTTTTCATGTATCTATTTCTCCTTTCAAATGGTTAAAGGCATCTGCCGCTTGCTTAAATGTTTATTAGTTCAGCATGTGTAGGCCCTGCAGTTTCCAAGTCTCTCCTGGTATTTCTCCTTCTAAATGGTTATTGGTAAAACTACTCCAGAATTGTAGGAGTAGGCACTGCTTAATAGGAGGTCTTAACCTTTATTGACCATTCTTTACTATTTAACCATGGACATATAGCCTTCCATGTGCTTATGAAGAATAGCTTGTAAACCTCTTAGTTGCTTAGGGATGGATTCGAAGACGTGCTTTAGCAATATGTCCATGGTTTGGAGGTTTGACAACTTTACTATCTATATAAGGATGCTGCTTGAGAAATCCCATTCTCTTTCTCTCTTAAGAAGATTTGCTCCTACAATGATGTAGATTATGAAGCTATCCTCCTTGGCTTAGAGATGGTTATTGAAATGTGAGTTTGTATCGTACTCATATTTTACGAATCAAAGCTGGTTGTTTGACAACTTTTGTGGACTTAAGAAGTCAGAAAGATGAGGATTAGTCCCACAGGTTCGAATGACTTGGTATCTCGTGTCATTGTCTTGTGAGGTAATAATCAATCATGTACCTCAATGATTCAATGGATAGGCTGATGTATTGGCAAAAGGGGCATCTATGATAATCCTTTCAGGTGTACCAATGCAAACTTTGGTTCAAGAGAGGCATGTTTTACTGTTGGAATTGTGGCCAATAAAGGAAAAACAACTTGATGGATCATAGTTATCAGGATCTTCCATTTAAGGGGTTTATTCCACTTAGGAATCTCACTTCTATGCTCTGGGGAAGAGAATCTCTCTCCTTGATTTTTAAACTATACCGCTTTACTTTAGTCTAGTTGGCAATGTGGTATAGTGTAGTAGTACATACACTATTGTCTATTATGTAGTAGTAGATAGTATGTTTAAACACATTATAATATAGTACATAGCACAATATTGTAGTACAGTATAGCAATATATTGTATACTAGTGGTTATTAGGTACCTTTTTAGTATACTCATAATCAAAACATATATATATCTATTAGTGTAGTAGCATATACTATACTGCTCATACCACATTTTTTAATCAGATGGAGTTCCCCCATATATTGGGATTTTTAATTTAAAATTTTTGATATTCATTTTAGAATCACTAGATGATTAGTTTAAAAAATAAGTTGGATTTTATATTTAAGTAGGTTTTTTATTTGAGGGACTAATACAATGTGTTCCTTGGTAGTGAACCACACCCATTTTTTTAAAGCCACAAAAAGACCGGTTTGGAACCAGGTCGCTTGTAATTTCTTTGATGAAAGATTGGTCTGAAATTTGAAGTTCCGAAATGGTGTATTTACAAAACTGTTGGTTCAAAACTTGGTGTTTTGAACTTGTAGGTAATTTTGGAAAAATATAAGTTTTGGAAAAGTATAAAAGCAACATAAGAAACATGAGCGTAAAATGTAAAATATTGCAGACATTTCTTTAATATTGCAAAAAGAAAAGATAATTTTATTCAAATATTCTTTTTTCATTTCTTTTTGTGATTGGTCATTGGGTGAAGAGAGTTTGTGCATAATTTGGGGTTATACAAACCCCCAAGGTGGTGTTTTGAAGTAGCAGCTTCTTTATATTACTCTTGAAACTATTCAATAGGTGTATATATATGGGGAGTGATTTCATGTCACCATGTCATTGTAATATAATGAAATCACACTTCTAGAAAACCATATTTATGGCATTTATGTGACCCCGAAAATTGCACACACCCTCCCTTCATCCCAATAATTAATCCCCAAAAAAATAAAATTCAATTTGCATCCTAGATATGGTCAAAATGAGTTCCCCTCCAACAATGAATCTAGACTATCCATTTTGTGAATTTCAAAATCTAAGCCTTATGACTCAATCATTTTTTTTCTTTTTTAAAGATGTTCATCTAATGGTAATAAAGCCATCTAAAAAACTAGAAAGGGAGAAAATCCTTCTAAGGCCTAGACCTAAGCCACTCACCAAAATGGACGGTCTATGTTAATGGGGCTAAACAAACACTTTCTAGGGTGTTTTTCAAATTTTGCTTTTCTGCCATTGTTCATTTGAATGAAAAGAGAGTGCATTTAAAAATTGGGGTCAAACGAATTGCCCTAACAAAGTACTTGAAGATTGTTTCATTATATTATTATAGACCAATTGTAGGAATGGCCATCTTTATGATACTTTATCTATGTGACACTCCCCCTGGCAAATGGAGATAAGAATGCTATATACCCATTGGCTTATATTGTAGCCTTCTTCCTCCATATGATATTTATGTATATATTAAATAATATATTTTTATACCACAATAAAGATAAAGATATAGGACATTTATATATTATTATATAATATATCACGTTATTACCCATACGGTATATAGCAAACAAGATTCTAGTGGTGGGTATAACATTGCTATATTATATCTATAAAAGAAAATATCAACATTCATATGTTATATCTATAAAAAATAGCTCATAAGCATTATTATCTCATTATTATATGTGGTGTAAACAATATGAATTTGAAATATCCTTTTCGTGATATTTGTATTTTTATACATTAGGGTGTGATTTGCTTAAGGTTGCAACCTTAAACAATCAAATTAAGGTGCATACCCAAACATTGTCATAATGTCATGAGATACAATTTTGGTGTCGAATATTCTTAGGATGGTGCGAAATTTTTTTTTTATCTCTAATTATAGAATTTAAATCTCCATTTAATCAAATTAAGGTGCATACTTGAACATTGTCATGAGATGCAATTTTGGTGTCAAAAATTCTGAGGATGGTGCAAAAATTTATTTTTATCTCTAATTATTGAATTTTAAACTCCAAACATGGTTCAAATCAAGCAGATATATAAACGCACGAAAATCCTAAAAATGGACGGTCCAGATAATTTATTGCAAGATGTACCTTTTTTAGGACTTGAAATCTCTTTTTTTTCTCCATATCTATGCATCTTGATGTATAAGTTTAGGGCAAAGGGAAAAGACGTCCACATGATCTTTATTGATATGGAGAATGCTTATGATAGAGTACCTTGACATTTAATTTGGTGGGTGCTGGAAAAGAAATGAGTCTCCAGACCCTACATTGACTTGGTGAGAGATATGTATGAGGGAGTGCTACTTAGTATGCAAACAACTAGTGGGGAGACGAGTGAGTTCCAAGTCACAATAGGTCTACATCAGGGGTCAACGTGGAGCCCATACCTCTTTATCTTAGTTATAGATGATTTAACTAGGCACCTACAAGATGAGGTACTGTGGTGTATGTTGTTTGCAAACGACATAGTTTTGATCAATGAGATCCGAAACGCCGTCAACACAAAGTTAGAACTTTGGAGGGATGCTCTATGATCTAAATGTTTTAAAATTAGCCAGACTAAGATTGACGGTCAAGAAATACAAAAAAGAATGTGCTTTCATTATCTTGAGTCGATAATCCAAGAAAATGGAGAGAGCTGGGTGGGCGAAGTGGAGATGTGCAACAAAGGTTTATGCGATCGCCGCATACCAATGAAATTGAAGGGAAAGTTATATAGGACAATTGTGAGATCAACTTTGCTTTATGGGGCAGAATATTGGGAGGTTAAGAAGCAACATACCCATAGCATGAGTGCAACTGAGATGCAGATGTTGAGATGGATGAGTGGCAAGACAAGGGATATAATTTGAAATGAATACATTAAAAAAAACTTACGTATGGCACAAATAGGTGATAAGGTGAGAGAAAATAGACTTAGGTAGGCTGGCCATATCCAACGCAGATCCAGTAGGGCACCTGTTAGGTGGTACGAGTTAGTTCAAATGGAAGGCCAAAAAATGGCAAGTGGTAGGCCCAAAAGGACATGGTTGAAAGTAGTGAGGTGAGAAAAAATATGGGGACTTATGGCCTCATTGAGGGTATGGCCCATGACAGAGCAGAATGACGAACTAGGATTCGTGTAGCCGACCCCAAATGGTTTGGAAAAGGGCTATGAGGATGATGATATATACATCTCGATGTCAAGATGATCAATTAGATGTTTTCCCAAGATATAAACAACCTTTTTCGAAGGATTTTAGAGGTGCACCTTAATTCTACATTTTAAGGTGTAAACCTTATATAAATGTTTTCATATATATTATCACTTATGTCTCTTTATGTTTCAAATGAGCCATCAAATACTCATTTGATGATTTATATGTTCATTTTTGGTATTTTTGGCAACAAATTGACGGCTTTTACTATAGTTGTAAATCCAATTAGCTTAGAGATAATATCTCATACACAATAATTATAATTTAATTATGATGATGATAATAGTAACAATCTTTTATAAGCCACAGGCTTATGCTATAATATAGGCCTGGTGGTTAAAACTAATAGCTGAAGTATTTTTTTTCTTTTGCTAAATTTTGTGTGACTTCTTGTATTCAACAAATGAAAAAAAAAAAATTTTTTGAGAGAAAGTTAACTTATGTATTGCTGTAGAGTGTTAGACTATAGAGGAGGGGTCCGAGAGCACCCACAAGTTGGGTCTCTTGGTAAAAAAATAGGTCAAGAGACTCTGTACAAAAAATTGGACTTATAGACCTGTCCGATTACAAAAGATATACTTGTGAGATACGAAAAAATTGAGGTTTATAGATTTGCCCAATAACAAGATCTGTGCTAAGGTGTAACTAAACTCATGTATGCCCACTGTGGTCCAGAGCAAAAAAGGAGATGGACTGGGCGGGGTCTTCAGCATGGGCCCTAGCTCCATCTTTTGCCAGCAGATCGGCTAACTTGTTGGACGTCTGCCAGATATGCTTCCATAAGACGTCCTTGTCCCTGCAAATGTTAGCAATCTCATCAAAAATCGAGGAAGTTGTGAAGTGCCTGCTGCCCAAGAGATGATATTTTGGGTGTCAACAAATGAAAAATTTAAAGGAAAAAATTGATCGTGAGTTGTTAAAGTCGGGGATCCAAGGACGGCCTGAATTTGCTGAAAGTGGTGGACTCATTTTGGATATTTGTTGGGGCAACTTTTTTTAATGCTATATTGATCGCTTGGATGAGATGAGCATGTCTGCATAGTTTGGGGTTTAAGAAGTGCCTCTAGCTCCAATAGGCTTATGCTGCAGTATTAGTCAATGGGTTTATCTTACAACACACATGCACACACAGACATGCAGAGAGAGAGAGAGAGAGAGAGAGAGAGAGAGAGAGAGAGAGAGAGAGTAGTGTAGTATATATACTA